TGGATTTTATTTCAGCACCAAAAGACGTATTTCCCAGCTCCTTACAGCCTGTTGCCAACATACAGTCCAGTAACTTGCAGGCCCAGTAGTGAGCGGGTTGGGCTTTAATTGGACTATGTGCACCTAGTGCAGGTTTTGCCTGCTGGGATCTTTCCTTAGCACTCCGATTTCTGGTGTTGCCTGGATCAACTGACATGGGCACATGCCAATATGACAGCGTAGTGGATGAAGCCCTGCCTTTGCCTATCCATGGGTAGGCATAAGGCAAGCTATGATAATGGGTTGCAACTTGGCCAGTGTCCAGCCATACGTTGGTGGCTGGAATGCAACATGAAGCTGGTGAAAGGTTTGACTGGGCATGTTCACACAGGCGCCCCCTGGAAAGCCTATATATAGCGAGTTCTTGATTATCACGTAACTAAGCTTTTGGCAAAATTCACAAAGTGTCTGGGTGCTGACTTTCAGATCAGCATGGGGCCTTGCTTGCTTGGCCAGGAAATAACAATGGAACGAAATGCGCATAGTAACTAAGCAGGTTCTGTATATGAGGAAATTTATGACATTTGGCTTTGGGCGACCGGACTTGCTTCCCAGAAACTAAACTGTGTGTTTGTGGCTCATGTGCCTACGCTTTCTTAAACACACAAGCATGGCTCAGAATATGCCAAGGAAAGCCCATTGAAAACACCAGGAAGTGGAATGGCACAATAGAGTTTTGGTTCAGCGTTTGATGGAATGCTTCACCAAAAGGCTTCCTGATGGTGGGCAAAGGTTGGCTCGCCACTCCCACATGAGGTAGGTTCCAGTTCGTCCAATCTGACTCTACACCCCTGTACTCGGGGATAGTGTTTTGTTTTGTTCCTTGTGTTAGTTAAATTGCACACTGTACGCCAGCTGTGTACCACTCTATGTATACGCCCAGCTACACATACATACAGTGGTACTTAGGTAGCATGCAGCGGGCTGTTTACGGCTCTAAGCGTGCTGCCTGTAGGATGTCCAATGTGTTAGATCACCCCAGTCAGCAGCAGTTTGCTTTGCCTACGGAGCATTTCAATGAGCGTTCAACTATACACTAGTGACATACATCAGCCCTATGCGCGGAATAATCCATGTCCTGTAACCACGCCTTATTACTGTGCATTTCCTGTCCATGGTTACTCATTCTGGTTTGACCCATTCTTTGCACTCTTTCCAATCCATCTGGTGCCCTGTCTGTCCTGGCTCGCACCCCCATTTTGACCTCCCTACGTACTTTGCTTGCCACACATACAGCTCTCTGGTGGTTGTGCCTGGCAGCCGTTTTATATGTAGGTGCATGTATGTAGATATATCGCCAATCCGCTAGCGGGGTGAGAGGAACTAACGTTACTTTCATTGGCTGTATCTTGTATACGTTGGGAGCCTATGACCGTGACCGTAAATCCCCCCGTAACGAAGTGAAGGGGAGGATTGGAGGACAGATCACCGCTAAAGTTTGTCTGTCCGTCTGTCTGTCTGTCTGTCTGTCTGTCCACAAAAGTGGTGGCAACGACCTTCAGGCGCTAAGCGTTCAGTCCTGTCCTCAGCCAGCCAGAGGTCTCCAGTTCAAGCCTGGTAGCGACCTCTTGGCGACTTCCTCGGCACCCTTGGAGATGATGCCTGGCCCTATGGGGATGGTGTTCTGGGAGATGCTGCGAGGCGTTAGACGCCGAGCGTAGCGAGGCTCTAGCCTCGGAGATACAGCGTAATCTGGACTGTACGGCAAAAAAGTGCGCCTGGATGCCGCGCCCCAGGGCTGGCGCCGACCCCCCATGCATCCTCGAAGGGCAGCACGAGACAGTACTGGAAGGATTTACTTTCATATACACTATTCGGGAAGGCTGGGAACTTGAGCTCGTCTGCCTTTGACCGGCTCCCACCGACGCAAAACCTGATCTCGCTGAAAATGGGAGTGCGCATAATTTAGAGCATTGAGTGAGGAAGCGATTGCAAGCGAAAAATGTATGGGGTTGTATCGAGACTTTGTGAGGAAACAAGCCGCGAGCGAGTACGGGTCAGACATCGTCGCGGTGAAAATAGGTACCCCTCGAATACCATCCCATACCGCTTTTACTTTATAAAGTTAAAGAGCACTATGTCTACAATAAAGCTACCTTGGCAATAACGTCTGGAAAGGGTCTGTTGGCGCGGAGCGCTAATTGGCTCACGACCCGAGCCACGTCTCGGAGCTTAAAGGCAAACGCCAATCTATTCTCTTGATAAGTATCTTCGATTGTGGCAAAACAAATCCGCATAGGCGGCGAGACCTTAGCTGCGGCGTTCGCGATGCTCACTCCAACTCGACGCCAAGCGCCTTAAGACGCAAAACCGAGATGGGCTTGATATTTCTGACATAATCGCGGTACAGAAAAGATCGAAATCTGGCCGGTTCAGGCGTGCTTATTAGGTCGCGGACGTCGCGATGACACCTGACGGCTCGGAGCCCTCTCCCAAACGCCGAGACAGTCTTGCTGATAAAAAGCGAAACTACCACGGCACTCTCTAGTATGGTTCCTGTGAATCGGCGCCGTCTCAGTTGTTCCCTTTCCGCTCTCGCACACCCAACCAACCCGGCTGCAAACCTCTTTTAATTGGCGCACCCCTTACCATCCACCTGCCACCCCCAAGCACCGCGCTTGCCTCTGCGTTCCTTCCCCTCTGCACCTGCCCTTTAAGCGATTTTTTCCCGCTAGCCCTCCGCATTGAACCCCCCCCCCTCGCCCTTACCCCTCCATGCCCCTCAAGTTAACAGACGTCCTCCCCAAAGCACCCTTCCCACCTCTCCAGAAACACGTCCCTTTTGCAGCGAGCTGGCAGACGTCTTCGGATCATCGATCAACCCCTCCACCGCCCACCCTCTCGTTACACGCCACATACAGGATCCGCTGCGCCGCCCCACTTCCTCACCTCACCCTAACCACGCTGCCCCAGTTTCGGTTTATCGCGCTGCTCAACATTCCTGCCATCCCTCGATCCTTCCACGCCCGACATCCCACCACACACGCATTAAATTTATTAATAATTAACCCCATCACCCTCCCCACCCACCCGCACCCCCCAAACACAGACACGCACACACCCCACTCTCTGCACCGGCTGCACCACCTCACTGCTCGTTCCTGCCATCCCTCAAACCTTCCACGCCCGACATCCCACCCTGGACGCGTTATTTTTATTGATAATCGTCACCCGCCCTCCCCGACATCCCCCCCCCTCCCAAACCCTCCCTTGCATACACACCCCACTTCCCACCGCCCTTCCCACACCATCTCCGCCCCGCTCTCGACTGACATCCCTGGCACCATGGCAGTCTCTAGTATGGTCCCTGTAAAGTGACGCCGCCCAAGCATCCCCTAACCCACTCCTCACACGCAAGCAATACGGCTGCGAACCTCTCCCCAGTTACCATCCACCTGCCATTCCCGAACACGGCGCTTGCTTGTGCAGCCGCCCGCCAACGTGCTCATCACCGGGCGGGCAGGCACCGGCAAGAGCCGCATCTTGCTAGCGCTGCTGTGGCTGGCGCTCCGGTACGGGCATCACGACATGATCGCCGTCACCAGCTACACGCATCGCGGCGCTCTGGAGGTACGCACCTTGCCGCACGCAGGGGGGGAGAGAAGCACGGAGGAAGGGAGGGAGCGAGGGAGAGAGGAAGGGACGGAAGGAGGGAAGGAGGCAGGGACGGAGGGAGCGAAGGGAGGAAGGGAGGGAAGGACAGAGGGACAGAGGAAGGGAGGGAAGGACAGAATACCGCCCGGCCCCGGCTGCTGCTGCTGCCCACAGATCGACCGGCTACATTGCCAGGATAGCCTACCGAACAATGTTTTGCAACCCGCTGGCATGGTGCCGTCTTAGTGCTTCTGGGCTATAGATCGTGCCGCAACGCCAGCGCACATACTGTTTGCGTACTCGTCGCTGCATGGGTGCTTCTAGGCTACATACCTTCCCCTGCCGGGTTGGTGCACATGCGGCTTCGATACTCCTTGCCATCTCGGTGGTTTTTGACTCCAGCTCATGCTGCTTTCTGCCTCCCTGTAACACCACGGCGCCATCCTTCCAGTCCTTCCCGTTCCAGACTCGTTCAGCAGAGGATCGTACTGTGCCTATGCTGCGCTGCGCTTTGTTGTGCTCTTACCACACCACGTGTAACGCCAGTACTGCACTACATAGTGGTGTTGCCAACAACCTTGCCGGCGCAAGCCAGTCGCATAGACTTCTACATCGTGCATGTATCCCCGCTCCCTGGCATGTACGACCCGGCCAAAGACCACTCGTACATCCGTACGGCGCCATTGCAACGTGCACCTTCCAACCACCCACCTCTTGTACCGTACAACTCCTCGACTGCCCGTCAACACCTCCTCGCCACAACTTACAACTCCTCCACCGCCACTCAAAACATCGTTGTCCCACTGTACAGCTCTTTATCCGGTGTCAGGCGCACCATGTGAGCCTCTGCCATTACCTCACTACCCAGGCCCTGCACAATATGATGTGTACATGACATTGCTACCTGCCACAACACCGCCGCCGTTCAGCACACGCGTATACATCTTCATGCACCCACGCCCTTTCCACGTCCCACTGCGGGATTCGTTGCCATACCGTAGAACTCCTCGACCGCCAATCAACACCTACTTGCTGTACCGTTCAACTCGTCCACCGTTAGTCAACACTGCCTGTCCCACCGTGCAATTCGGCCATCGTCTCTTATGTATACCTCTCCTCCCCCTACATGGCCAACGCCCTCAACCCAACCATCATTCCGCCAGCTCTCCCAAACGACAACCGCCCATCCTGCCTCACCGCAAAATACCCTCCTGGCTCCTATCCTACGCCCTTTATCGGCAACTCCCACGAGGACCCCACCTTCTCCTTCGCCGCGTTCCTGACCCCGTCCCCCACCCCCGCCCCTTCAAACCCGTGTTCTTCCCACGGTTAACCTACTCCATCCTGCAGAATCCCACCACAACGTTGCCCTCAATCCGGAACGTTCCTCGCACCTCCACCGCGACGCCACTCCCCGCTCCCGTGCTGTCCAGCCCCATGCTCGCCAGGGCATCACCACGGACTTGTACCTGTGACGGACATTCCGGCGGCATGCGCATCACAGGTTACGCTTTATACTCCTCCCATCCTCATCCCCCCTCCTCACGTTTCCTGTCATTCCCCAAACCCCGACCCCGCCCTTCTTTCCCATAACTCACCCCTATCATGTCGAAGCTTGCCCGCGGCCGGCACAGCCCTACGGCATACCCCGTTAGCACGTCGCCGAAATCACCCCCTCCACATGCCGTACACTGCGTTCCTGGCGCGCCTCCCAGCTTGCCGCACGCACCGCACCTGCACACAGACAAATTCACACCGCATTTGGCGATAGTACCACTTCCACAATGCGCCCTCCCCCCCCGCGGCTGCATCGCACTTCTTTCCCCTCCTCCCCCCCCCCCCCCCCCCCTTCCTCCTCCATACCTGCGCACTCTCCCTTCCGGAGTACTGAACAGCGTCCCACTCAGGCTCCCATTCAACATGCCGCCGACCTCCAGCTCTCCACGTGCCCCGGGCTGGCGAAACAGGGCCGCCTGCACGTCCTGCAGCAAGCCCTCCGACGCCGCGTCCTCCGCTGGCACCGCAAGGGAAGTCCCCATTGTCACCGTGATGGTGCCTTCCTCCAGCCGCACCTCCGCACCACCGGCAAACAGCACGCGCTGCCAAACAGCCGACCGCGCCATGCGTGCCACCAGCGCCTCCATGCTCTCCGTCGTGCGTCCACGCAGTTGCAGCTATATAAGCCAGAAATACACAGGGACGACCACAGGCATTACCGCACCGCACGTCCCATACGGGTTTGGCAGGGCGCAGCATCGTGCCAACAGTGACTAACGATCCATTCTTCATCACACCTCTTGCAAGAATATGGGTCCAGGCCAAACAGCAGTGCAGGCAATCAGCACAGCCCCCATACGGGCCTCACCCAAGTTGCGGCCGTCAGCGCCCAACCCCCACCCAACCTGGAATAACGGCTCCACCGCTTCCCAACCTTGTGCTCCACGCATCACCGCCCGCCCCCCCGTCATCTCCATGTCCGGCAGATGCCGCACCACCTCCTCCTTCCGGGTCTGCACAGCAAACAGCACCAACGCGGCCGTTAGTATTTTTCAAGCCATGCGCACCGCCCTCCATTATTTCTGCCCTACTCACTCCGCGCGGCGCCAGCAGGAGATGTCCATTATCAAACCGGTTGCAGTTGTCGACCGCGCTGATCATCTTTTCGCGCAGCTTTACGCGAGGTAGGTCCTGCACATAACACCGTGCACATTTTATCTCGTATTCCAAACCCGCAAGACTTTCGCGACTCAATCCATTCCTCACCGCTTCCCGGCCGACCACATCCACCGCTCCTCCTGCGCTGACCTGTGCCGAGCTCGTGCAGTACTGTGGAATAGTATACTGCCCACGCCCTCGCCGGGCGCCGCGCACCCTGACCTTCTGCCCGATGATGCCCTGTCCACGACCTAAGTTGCACAGCTCCTGCACCACTTCCGGCCTGAAGATAACCAGCATCTCAATCCCCTCCTCATTGTCCAGAGCCACATAGAGCCGCCCATACTTTAGGCTGCTGACATTCAGCGGATCGCCGCTCGCGACCCCAGGAATGAATCCAACAACCGTGCCTTCTAAAGCGCCTATCGGACCTCTAGTACCACCTTCCGGAGCGTGCCCGACCGACCTAAACGCACCCTCAGCCTGCTGCCGTCCTTGCGGAACCCCAAACGTCTTCTCCAGAATTGAACTTAGCTCCTCCATGCCTACGGCTTTCTTGTTTTCTTCTTTCTTTATACACCTCACATTATATAACACTGCTCTGCAATTCTCTATACCTTGTCGCCCCCCTTGTCACCATCCAGCCTCCTCCGTACTAACGACCTTGGTGCTTCCTTCCTCCTTTCCGCGTTCTTCTTTATCGTCTGCGCTTATCTTTCCGCACCAATTCTCTTACTTCACAGCATTCCTTTACCATACTGCTACCCTCTCGCAACAACTGCACTACCTCAGTAATACAGTCCACATGCAACCGCAACCGAATCCTCAGCCCCTCGCCTTCACCGTGACCTCCCTATCCGCTCACAACACCGTCGCAACCGCACTCACGGACCACGGCGAACCGGCGAGCATAACCGGCGGCGCCTTTCCCTTCCGACCGGGCACTCGCTTCGCTCTTCGCAACGCCCGATCCATCCTCCATCCCACCCTCAACCCCGCCTTTACTCTCAACTACGCCCTCCTTCCCGGCACCCGCGTCGCGGAGCTTCCCCACATTCCGGTACCTTCACTCCCGACTACCTCGCTTTCCCTCCACAACCTTTTTTCCTAATTATCCTCCTCCTCTTGTAGAATCCGCCCGGGCACCGCATTCGTTCTCACCATCTTACTTCGCAGCCTCTCCCGGGCAACCGCTACAACTGGTTCGTCTTCCCGCTTGTACCCACCCGCGACGGCCCCTCTCCTCACCTCTCCATCGCTCCTGCTGTCTTCATCTCCCGCCATCACAACGAATCCCTCTTTCACTTCGTTTCCCAGCTCAGAGTACGTCCCTCACCACACCTCCTCCCTAACCACAACTGCCGCGCTCAACATTTCTTCTGCCCTTCCAGGCCGACCTTTCCGGCCGCCCCGATTTCCAGCCCAATACCACAGCTCCTTCGGTACTGCACCGCGCTTTCTTCGTCACCAACGGACAAGCCTCTCGGGTATGTCCTTGTTCTCCTCCACACTTCCCTCCTCACCCGCTTCACCCACTCTTTTCGTCCCTTTCCCTACAGGACGACGTCATGTACGCCCTCCGCGACAGCACCCTCACTGGTATTCACCCCGACAGTCCCGCTCTCCCCGAGATCATCACCTACCTTTACTCCCAGAACCTCCTCACCATCGCTGCCGTGCCACCCCATGATGAGGCCTTCGCACCGGGCGTCTTCTTCCCTCGCCGCGTCGTTCCCCGGTAAGCCCTCCTTTCCTTTCCTGCTCTCCTCTGCCTCGTCCTCTTCTCTTCTGCGCCGCCGCCTCCTTCCTCCTCCATACCCCTTCTCACCTCCCCTCCCTCCCGCGCACCCCAGGTGCGATGGTTGCTGCGCAGCCTTCGACCTCAACCCCGACCGCTGCCCTAACCCCGCCTGCAACCACGACGGCTTCACCTTCATCGTCGAAGGCGACCTCGTATCCCTACGTTTCGGCCCTGCTCGCGATGGCATCCACGCCCACGTCAGCCGCCCTCACCTCCTCAACCTCATGTTCCCTGGCCGCCGCCCCACCTTCCATTCGGCCCTCCGCGCCGCCTGCAACCCCCTCACGTACGATGCCCTGCGAGCCTTCATGCTCCCGCCCACCCCCGGTACCTTCTACGTGTCGCTGCACGACGAAATCACACGCTTCGCACCGGCAGACGTACCCCCGGAACTGATCGCGGGCGCCCCACTGCCGGGCTAATGACAAACGTGGGGCAACGCCGATGATATTGGAGTGGCAGGCCCCAGGATATTCAATCCAAATCTGGGCGACCGTATTCCAATGGCAGGGCCAACGGGCAACTACGCCCTGGCAGAGCTTCCTGTAATGGCACGCTTGCACGTGTTGCACTTGCTGGGATGACAATGTTGGACTCATATGCGCAACCGTGTTCTTCGAATCCGAACGCATCTTACTGCTTCTTGCCTTTAGGTCATCCCGCCAGGGAAGCGCACAGACCACTTGCCTATTCGTCGCTGTAGGGGTGATTTTGGGCTGCGTACACTTCCGTACCGGCTTGGCAAACATGGGGCTGGTGACAAACGTGGGGCAACGCCGATGATGTTGGAGTGGCGGGCCGAAGGATATTCAATCAAGATCTGGGTGACCATATTGTAGTGGCAGGGGCAACAGGCAACTACGCCACGGCAGAGCTTCCTGTAATGGCACGGTTGCACGTATTACACTTGCCGGAATGACAATGTTGGACTCATATGCGCACCCGTGTTATTATAATCCTAACGCATCTTAGTGCTTCTTGGCTTCAGATCATCCCGCAAGGCAAGCGCCTTGCCTATTCCTCACTCCAGGGGTTATTTTGGGCTGCGTAGATTGTCTAAACGGAGCTCTCTGCCAAACGGCCCGACATTCTTGCTGATTAACAGCGAATCTACCACGGCACTCTTTGGTACGGCGCCTCTAAACTGGCGTCGTCTCGGTTGCTCTGTTTGCCACGCGCTGCTCACACCCAACCGGCACGGCCCCAAACCTCCTGATTTCCACCCACTTACCACCAAAACACCGCGCTTGCCTCTGCGTTCCTTTCCCTCTGCACCTGCACTCCCCAACATTCCACGTTGCATTACTTTTATTCATAATCTTCCTCTTTATACTCACACCCCATTTACCGCTGTTCCCTTTACATTCCTTCGCCCCCCACACCCCCCACACAGTTCCCACCCTCTCCCCCCACACCACCCCCGCCCCGCCGTCCAGCCCCCAACGCCTCGCAGTGTCGGCGCGCGCGCGCGCCGCTTAGTATCTCGAGTACGACAACACACTGTACGGCAGCAAACTGTACGGCACGGTTGCCATGCTGTGTGGTGACACATCATGTGGTGTACGACATGTACGACAATGTACGACAGCTGTACGGCAGTGTACGACAGCGTACGACAACTGTCGTACGCTTGTACGGCATCTGTACGGCATGGGTTTTGACACGCCCTCCCACCCCCCTCCGTGCTCCCCACTCCCCTCATCGCCCCCTCTTCACTCATCATGCCTGGCATCATCAGGATGGTGTCCTGAGATGTGGTGTCGTACGGCAACACAGTACGGCATGGGTTTCGACACGCTCTCCCACCCCCCTTCATGCTCCCCACTCCCCTCACCACCCCCTCATCACTCATCATGCCTGGCATCATCAGGATGATGTCCTGAGGTGTGGTGCTGTACGGCAACGCAGTACGGCATGGGTTTCGACACGCCCTCCCACCCCCCTCCATGCTCCCCGCCCTCCTCACCACCCCCTCGTCCCTCCAGCACCTCTGAACACCCCTGCATCACCATGAAGTGTACGGCAACGCAGTACAGCATGGGTTTCGACACGCCCTCCCACCCCCCTCCATGCTCCCCGCCCCCCTCACCACCCCCTCGTCCCTCCAGCACCTCTGAACGCCCCTGCATCACCATGAGGTGTACGGCAATGCAGTACGGCATGGGTTTCGACACGCCCTCCCACCCCCCTCCATGCTCCCCACTCCCCTCACCACCCCCTCGCCGCTCTGGCTCCTCTGACCACCCCTGTCGTACAGCGACACGGTATGGCATGGCTTCGGGCACCGCATATCACCAATCTTCTTGTTGCAATATCTTGCATTGTGATCTCGACTAAGCTGTAACTGAATTAATGAGCCATTCGCAGTTTCTTGGTTACTTTCCAAAATCAGTGTCAAAACGTTTGGTGACCGTGACCACCCCCCTCCATGCTCCCCACTCCCCTCACCACCCCCTTGTTGCTCCAGCTCCTCTGACCACCCCTGTCGTACAGCGACACGGTACGGCATGGCTTCGGGCACCGTGTATCACCAATCTTCTTGTTGCAATATCTTGCATTGTGATGTCGATTAAGCTATAACTGAGTTAATGAGCCATTCGCAGTTTCTTGGTTACTTTCCAAAATCAGCGTCAAACTGTTTGGTGACTGTGACCACCCCCCTCCATGCTCCCCACTCCCCTCACCACCCCTTCCTCGCTCCAGCTCCTCTGACCACCCCTGTCGTACAGCGACACGGTATGGCATGGCTTCGGGCACCACGTATCACCAATCATCTTGTTGTGATGTCTTGCATTGTGATGTCGATTAAGCTATAACTAATTTAATGAGCCATTCGCAGTTTCTTGGTTACTTTTCCGAAAT